TTCATCGTGCCACGAGTGCCTTTATCACAATGTTTAAGAGTAACACACGCCAGCTTCCAACAGTCAATGTAAGCACCTGAGAATAGCGGTATCGGATGGCGTCCTCAATGAATGGAACGAACGGAACGGACGACCACAAAGTTGAAGAGCTTATGCAGACACTGAACGGAATCAACGCCGACACCTTCAGCAACGATGGTAAAAGGATCCAGACCCTCCTGGCAGCGTATGCCCTCGTATCTCGGCTCGAGACGCCATGGGATTTCGTATTGAGACTCTGCATGGGTCAGGTACTCACTTTGACCCTTGTGTGAAGTCTGAGACTGGGGCTGAAATGTGCATCAGCCAGCGCTTGGGGCAGCTCTGAAAGTTTCGAAGGATCTGCAGCTGTTCGACAAATGGCATGAGCGCGGTGACGGCGCCATGACAAGGGAGCAGCTGGCAGCGATGGTGTCTTGCGACCCCAACCTTCTCTGTCAGTGCCCTTAAATATGAGACACGGAGAGTGTGTATGTGTGTGTGTGTGTGAGAGAGGGAGGGAGGGAGAGAGGGCGGGATGGAGGGAGAGACAGACCTGGCAGCTAAACAAATATGACGATCTAGTTCGCCTACTCCGCCATTTAGCAGCAAACCATGTGCTGCAAGAGACTTCGATAGGGGTTTTCAAGCCGACCAAATTGAGTATCTCTTTCACCCAATCAGTGTTCGGGGAGTGGATCAACCATCTGTTTGTCTCTCCATAAGTCAACACTTTTAGCAAAGGGTAACAGACTTAGTTACGATGCGACAATTCCGTGCTTCTTCAAGATGCCAATGTACCTGGCTCAGAATGGCTACAAAAATCCTTTGGATCCCAGCAATGGCGTTTTCCAGTACGCGAAAGGTTGGAAGGGAGATATGTTCCACTATTACGAGTCCCACCCGGTCGAGGGTGAATCCTTCAACCACGTCATGGGCGGCGTCATGGCAAACCAGGCCGGGTGGGTGGACATTTTCCCCCACAACGCCATTCTCGAGTCAGACTCGGATAGCGAGTCCCCTCTCGTGGTAGACGTGGGAGGCAACATTGGTCACGACATGGAAAAGTTTCGCCAGTTACACCCAGAGACAGCTTCTCGTCTGTACCTGGAGGACAGACCAGAGGTTGTAAAGCACTCCCTGTGTCCAGAGCCTGTGAACAAGATAGGCTACGACTTCTTCATGCCGCAGCCGATCAAAGGTAAGGCTCATCGTGCGCGGTAAGAAGGCGGATGAACGACCGCTAAATCTTGCAAATCACAGGAGCGCGCGCCTACTACATGCACGGTGTCCTCCACGACTGGTCCGACGAGCCGGCCCGCAAGATTCTCGAAATGCAGAGAGCGGCGATGAAACCGGGATACAGCAAACTCCTGATCCACGACCACATTGCGCCCGAGGCCTTGGCCCACCCGCACACCACGGCCTACGATCTGACCATGATGGTCATGGTGGCGGGGGTAGAGCGGAGCGAGGCGCATTGGAGCACGCTGCTCAAGTCTGCGGGTTATAAGTTCCTCAGGGTCTGGACTTCGCCGCTGGCCGTGCAAGGCATCGTCGAGGCCGAGCTCGAGGAGTAGGAGTGTTGCTGCCATGCCCCTTGATACAATTCCGATTTGATTTTTCCATCGTATTCCGTATCGCCCGGTTCATCCGGGCTAGAAAATGCACAATCGCACCACATCACGCCCGATCGTTGATGATTGGAAAGCTTGCTTTCTCAATGCTCGAGACTTGAAAACGAGAATGGGTGCTACGCTAAGAGGCTAGTGACCAATCAGATCATCGGATTCCAATATTTCTAGTCTAAAACACACCTTATTTCTTCATTTTCGATCTAAACACGGGTACGTCCAAAAGAGGAAGCACCATAAGGCTGAACCTCGAACATCAACTTTATTAATTTATTCTATTTAATTCCTTTAACGTTACGTAATAAATGATAATAAAGTAAATTTATAGAGTTATAGAGTTAACTATACGCTTTCAAATAATGCAGCGAAGACGAAATTTGATAAAGTATTCGTAAAGATATACTAAAACTTAAGATTTATCGAGCTCGCGAGAAGAGCCCCTCCGGCAGGAGCCCTCGGAGAGCCCTCGGAGAGCCCCCGGAGGGTTAGGGGGGTTTCAGGGGGTCTCCCCCTGAGTATGTCAAATAAATTACAACGTCTCTCTCGATTCTCAGTGAACTATAACGTCTCTCTCTAACGTCTCTCGATTCTCAGGGTTAGATCCCTTAAAATCCCTTAAACCCTTCGGAGCTCTTTAAGGGCTCTCCGAGAGCTTCTGTCGAGGGGCTGTCAAAGCAAGCTCGAAATCAATCAAATATCACTAAAATAATCAAATTTCGAGCTTGCTTTGACAGCCCCTCGACAGAAGCTCTCGGAGAGCCCTTAAAGAGCCCCCGAAGGGTCCGAGGGGTTTTAGGGGGTCTCCCTGAGAATTAAACAGTCAAAAACCAGTACTCGGCAAGCTTTTCACTACTGGGAAGCCCGCGCCCCAGCACATATTTGATGCTCTTTGCTGTTTCCCCGTGCTCTTGCTTCGTGGCTATCCGTGTTCCTTCCTGCCCATCGTCCAAAGTGAGAGATTGAAGAACGCAGTCGAGCGTGCAGATTCTCGTTTGTCTGCTGCGCTGTGAGATTTGACTGACGAAGGGCGTTGAATTTGAGCCTATGGGGGTTCTTTGTGCTACGAGTGTCAAGGTCTCATGGTGGACTTGCGGGGTATGGCACAACGCTGTCACGTCACAGAATATCTTGTTTTTCATTCATTGGACCTTGAGAGCGCACATTGTTTGTAAGCTCTTATGTAGCTTTCTTCTTCCTCTTCTTCCTCTTCTTCCTCTTCTTCCTCTTCTTCCGCTTCTTCCTCCTCCGTTTGCCTCTCTTGCATTTCCCGTTTCGCTCAGAGAGGTTATGTAGTTGCTACGCGCATTCTTTCTCTAGCATCATTTGTAGCTGTCTGTGGGTTGCTCAATTGCTGAGTGTTAAATCGTACCCTAGTACATAGGACCATCTGACAAGAATAGCACAAGAAAAGGAACCCCCCCTTATTGAAGGTAAGAAGTGTCCTACAGGCGTGTTCCATGTGCAAGTACCTAAGCTTTCCATCAAATCTAGTTATACTAACAGACAAAAGAGATTGCAATAGCCAAATTCTAATCGCGCCATCAATGTTCTAAAGTACATGTAGACTGAAAGGAGATTAAGGGTCCCCAAGTCCAGTCCACTAAAAGCGCGGTGTCTCGTATAGTTCAGGAGTGACGTAGACCTGCAGACTTAGACCATCCTGCTTGGAATCTTCCTTCCTCCCGATGCCAATGAAGGTGAAGATGCCCGGCTTTTCGTCCAGCTTCCGGTACGTGCTGTGTTTTCAGTTGTTAGCAACGTCAGAAAGGTTGTGCAACGAGACGCATGGCCACGTACAAGACATTCTCCAGTCGCTCCTCGAGCGACCTTCCTCCGTCATGCCACCCATACTTCGTCAACCAGGCGTCCAGTCCCTGAGCGATCGCTTGGTCGTTGGGTGCTCTGAAAGCAGGATAGAAGTAGAGCTTTGGGACCGGGTATGGCCTATCCGGTGAGAGCGAGAAATACATGGACGTTGGTTTTTGTCCGAAGAGCGCGCGTCGCCGCTGCTCAGCTGGAGTCTCTTCCTTTATCTTGTCGGCTGGGTAGTCACAGCCACTTGCGAGGTAAATCAAGTCTCGAAGCTTCTCCTTGTCGTCTTCCAGATCAGGGATCCGTCCACCCAGCGTGTAATAATCCCACATCTCGTCGAACGAGTTCCCCCAATAGCGCATGTACACCTTCAGGCGCGCCTTTCCTGCCTTGACGAAATCAGTTGCCATGCCCCGCCCGCAGTTCTCGTACTGAGGATGGTCCTCGACGTAGTCCTCAATCGTCTTGAGGGCCAGCAAGATATTCGGATAGTAGCCAATGTCCGGCATTTGCCGAATACCCAAGCTGAGCGCTTGGAAGCGGCCGAAGCCCTTGTCTGCCGCCACGAAGCAGGGGGGAAAGTAGCTCTTGGCCATGACAGGGAGCATTCCAGGCGCCAACTCCAAGATACGAGCATTGATGTCAAATCCCAATATTGTGGGCGTCTGATACCCTACCTGAGCGACAAGGGCTTGCTGTTTACTTGGGGAGACGTTGGAATAGACGAACCACCGGGCGAGAGCACGATGCTACCGGGTGTGATCTGGAGTCATTATTTTCTCGTCATCAAGAAGTTGCGCATCATAGCTAACGCAGTGAGAAAGGGAGGAAACAAACAGATCAATATTTTGGAAAGAACAAGAAGCTTGACAATCGAAATGCATAACGTACCCATTTGTCGTCAAACATTGGACTTTGCTTGGCAAGCGTTTCTAACACCTTTTCTGAATTTGCTATACTCAGAGGGTGGTCCTTGTTTGGTGGACGGAGCTCGCTAAGATCGAGAACGAAGCGAACACCTGGGGTTTTGGTTGAACCCTTAAACTCAAAGCTGTACTCAAAAGGATTGCCGTCCCAGCCCACCGCGGCGGGAAGGGAGTTGCTTTCAGGTTTGTTTCCTAGCAGTGGACAGAGAGTGTCTCGATAGTAGTCAAGGAATTGGCGCTGTGCTTCTTCCGGGTAATTGGCCTCATGAAGCATTCTAGAGAGATCAGACCCACTGGTGCGCCACCAGTAGGACGGACCTTCGCCATTCATTGAACATGCTGTATCAGTAGTCGTCTCCATAGCAGTCGTCTCCATAGCAGGAGCCGTTTCCATAGCAGGCGTCTCCATAGCAGGAGCCGTCTCCATGGTGGCTGTTTCCATAGCAGGTGTCTCCATAGCAGGTGTCATAGCAGGCGTCTCCATAGCAGGAGCCGTCTCCATAGTGGCTGTTTCCATAGCAGGCGTCTCCATAGCAGGAGCCGTCTCCATAGTGGCTGTTTCCATAGTAGGCGTCTCCATAGCAGGCGTCTCCTTAGCAGGCGTCTCCATAGCAGGCGTCTCCATAGCAGGCGTCTCCATCGCAGGCGTCTCCATCGCAGGCGTCTCCATCGCAGGCGTCTCCATAGCAGGCGTCTCCATAGTGGCTGTTTCCATAGCAGGCGTCTCCATAGCAGGAGTCTCCTTAGCAGGCGTCTCCATAACAGGCGTCTCCACAGCAGGCGTCTCCATAGTTGCCGTGGCAGTCTGCATATTCAAAGATTGAATTTAATAAAGCGTCCCAAATTGTGGCAAACGAAGCCTCGTATTCTATGGCCTAGTGTACGAGAACCACGGAATTTCCTGCGCTGGATCTGGGGAGTTTTGGCATTGCCCTAGTCGCCAGTGTCTTCTTTACTTGGCACTACAAATCGGGCCTCGGCCCAGTGTCATATGGGAATTTTTGAAAGCCCCATAATCTCCCTGCCTCTGTAGTTGGACTGGGGATGATTATTTCAGGGTCTTTGGGGCTCGAACTGGTACTCGTTCGATTTCCTTGTTGTTGCATGCAGGAGCATGCACGCTGTTTGAGCTAAGGACCACTTGCATGTTACTTAGCGCCGACCCATCTGTTGGTCGCCAAGTAGTAGTGCTGGGTAACACCAGCCGCCCCAAGTAAGCGCAGGAAGCCGCCAGTGGTCAAGGAGAGGAAATGTTTATCATGGGCCACTTATAGTGTCGGCAAATCTAGCATGGGCCACGCTGTCTATTATGGGCCATTCCCAAACTTCCCGTCTCCAAAGTAATCACCTGCCCAATGCGGTTGGCCTTCGCATGTGTTGTCGTCGTCATCGTTATTGTGCGTTGTCTTCGTCGTCATTATCGCGCAATATATATACCAAATCTAAATCGAATGTTAACCACTAAACCCTGTCCATTGCCTCCGGCGGCTCTTCCAGGGGACAACTGCATTGAGCCTACTCTAGCCTAACCTCCTAACCGCCGTGTGACGGCGACCGCAGTGAGGAGGTAATTATTTCGAGAAGAGAAGTTGTGTGTCTAGCGGTGTTGCGCCCTTGCCAAAAGGTTGGCCCATCGTGAACGTTCCGCTGCTAAAGGTGGCCCATGATAAACGTTTCCTCGGTCAACTACAGATTTCAGCTCGGCGCGGACAGGATTGAGTGCGACTCAGTTTGCCCTTGATTACCTTTGGGGTAAATACAATGAAATGGATACATGCCCCGTAGCCCCCAAGCCGCCACCGGCGCTCCACATCCCGGAATCCACATCCGCGGTTGATGTGCGGGTCATCGATACGTATGTGCGCTCCCGTCGCTAGGGCCAGGTACCGTCTAGTAGGATGAGCAGTTGAGCTGGGGTGACTGACACGATGATAGTAATACCTTAGTCAATTTGAACCCAGAGCTCTTCTGGCAGCCCAAGGTGGATGGCTTCACCGGTCTCGACGCGCCCATATACTGCTTTCTGATATCGAATGGCAGCCAGCACGTAGTCTTCGACCTCGGCGTCCGTTCAGACTGGCAGAACTACGCACCCAAAGTCGTCTCGCTCATCAAGGCGACTACAGTGATCACGCGGGGATCGGACGTGACGTCGGTGCTCGACACGGACGACAGCGGCCTTAACATCCATAGCGCCGATATCCAAGCCGTCATCTGGTCGCACAACCACTTCGACCACATCGGAGACGTATCCAAGTTCCCACCAAGCACCGACCTCGTCGTAGGACCTGGCGTCTGCGCAGCTTCTTGGCCTGGCTGGCCGCGGCGTCCCGACGCCATTGTGCTCGACAGCGATGCGGAGGGTAGAGTGGTCCGGGAGATTTCTTTCGAGGCGAGCAGCCTGAAGATCGGCAGCTTCGACGCGTATGACTTCTTCGGCGATGGATCTTTCTACCTCCTGGACGCACCTGGCCATGCCGTCGGACATCTGTGTGGTCTTGCCCGGACTACGGCCCATGACGATGAACCGTCCTTTGTCTTCATGGGCGCTGATGCTTGTCATCACCCGGGGGTCCTCCGACCCAGCGACTACCTGTCATTACCGTCGGCAGACACCCTGCAGAGCACACTTGCAACTACCAGAAGCTCTCCAGAACAATGTCCCGGTGCCCTGTTCCAATCGCATCTGACCAGTCCCAATGCACCATTCTTCACAGTCGCACCCGGGCCCCTGTTTCCAGACCACGATGCAGCAATGCTCACGGTGCGCAAGATCCAGGAGCTCGACGCGGCGGATAATGTCTTAGTCTTAATGGCCCATGACTTGTCTCTACGGGACAAGATCCCTCTATTTCCAGAGACAATCAATGGGTGGAGAGTCAGTGGGCTAAAGACGAAAACCCGGTGGCTTTTTTGTAATGATTTCTTGTCTGCTTGATAGACTCTTGCCAGTCCGCAATTAGAAAGGCCGTGATGGTCCCGAGCTCAACAATGTGATCCAATTCACCGAAGTACTTATTGCATCAGGTGCTGCTCCCGACGGTGACGTTAATATGTTCTTATTGAATAGAGAGATATCTCTGCTAAATGACTAAAGCTAAATTAAATTATCTATAACGAAGCTAGTAACTCTATTTAAAGAAGAAGAATAATTAGAATCAGTAGACAGCGGTAATTCGGGAGGTCGTCCCGTCAAAAAGCAGTTGCCGGGTACTAGTACGCTCGAGGGCCGAGGCTAGCCCCGGGCTGGTTCAAAATTAATTCTCGTTAAGCGTATAGTCTCTTGAGTACGGCATCCTAAATAGACAGATAGATCAACCCAACGAAAATCGAAAATCTATATTTTATTTTTCGATTTTTTAAATTTAATATTCGCTTTTCTTATAATATTAGTATATATAATAGAATAAGATAGAGTTAAATTAGAAAATCTTAAATTTATATATATAGCTAATTATAAATTCGAGGTTATTACGTCTTTTAACTAGACTAACTAAGTTAGCTCGCTAGCTCTCTTAAGCTTCCTTATTAAAAATTTATATATAGAAGTTTTATACTCTAAAATAACTAGCTCTCTACGAATACTATTTCTTTATAATTTCGTAAATTATACATCTGCAAATCTGAAAAGTTTCTTTCCGCACAATTTCCGCCGGGTTCGCATTATAAGCACGATTTAGCACGATTTAGTCTATTAAGCAAACTTTATCTATATTTAATCCTTTCCGCCAGTTCTATTAGTTTAGTAACTTTAAAAAAATTTAGTAACTTAAAAATTTTTGCGTAATATACTCTAATATACTCTAAGTATTATTTTATATATATATAGCATTAATATATATTATTATTAATATGCGTATTATTATATATACGTATCATTATACGTTATATTAGAGTATCACCCACGCGACTAATTTTATTAAATTATTTAATTCCGTAGCTAAATTTAAGTTGACGTTAATACTCGTCGTCGTAGAACCTTACCGTCGTAACGTCGATTATTAGAACTTTTCTTTTTTTATGCGTATTACTACTAAATTGGTAGAACTGGCGGAAAAGATTAGAACAGTTACTAAACCGGCGGAATTTGAGCAGATTCTAATCAGAGTTACTAATCCGGCGGATTTTGTAATTTCCGCGACACACGCGCGATCAGCAATTTCAAATTTTATAGGAACTTTTTAGATTTGCAGATGTAGAGCTTAGTATACGCTTTCTAACGCTATAAAAATAATAAAGTTTAATTTACTATTAATAAATTAAATAAATATTTAAATATAATAGTTATAGTAATTATATTAGACGCGTTCAGAATCGAATAATAATTCTTTCATCTATTTATATAATTATTATTCTTTTATTACTCTATTAATTCTATTAATTTTACTAATATAAATATAATCGTCTTCGATATCCCTTATCTAAAGGTTACTTAATATTTTAAATACGTATATCTCTTTTACTCGCCTCTTAGAGCTAGACTATTTCTTAACGAATTCGCTATTACTAGTAATCGAGGCCGTAAGCGAGTCTAATAGCTATTTACTACTACTTATAAACGCGTTAAAAGACTCTTAAAAAGAGCTCGAACGAATATATTCTTCTCTATATACTTCTTTTAAGTTAGCGATAAGTAAATTAAATTAATATTCAAATATTATAGTTATATTAAACGCGTTCGATTTAGATATATATACTTCTTTTACTTACCTCTTAGAGACCTTACTAACGCTCTTAGATTATCTCTTAGCGAATTCGCTATTACTAATAATCGAGGCCGTAAGCGAGCTTAATAGATATCTACTACTATTTATAAACGCGTCGATATTCTTATACTTAGTTAAATAAGAGAAGAATCTATAATAAACGAATACGAAGAATATTATAAAGATAGTTATTAATAGTAGTAATATAATAGATCTACTCTTTATAATCTTATATTAATCTACTTAGTTAGTATAAGAGAAGTTATTATAATAGACGAATACGAAGAATACTACGAAGAAACTAAGCGATAATAAGATTCTTAGTATTAAGAATAAGCTTAACTCTTTAAGATCCCACGTTATATACTCTCTACGATTCTATATTAAATTATTACTTAGTAAGCGAAGAATACTACTATAATTTAACTCGTTATTCTTATTATATTAAGAAGTAAGAGAAGAAACTATAATAGATAAATACGAAGAATATTACGAAGAATATTATAAGGGCGTAGTTTACTAGCGATTAGCTAGCGAGTATAGACTATAAAAGACGTAGTATTATTATAGAGTTTAATAGTATATTTAATAGTAGAACTAATCTCTAAGAAATATTAAAACTTCGAGATATATAAAGTAAATCTATATCCGCTAAGCCTCTAAGCATATAGAGTATATTATTAAAATTAGATTCTAAAAGAAATTCTAATATAGAATATATAATATCGGCGCTTTAATATAAGTAGCGTTAAGGCTTATAACGTATTAAATTTAATAATTACCTCTTCTTCTAGATCTTAATTCTTAGACATCTAAGTAAAAATAGAATACTTATTAAAAAATCTTTAAATTCTAATAAGAAAATAAGAGAAAAGAGTTAATTTATTAAGATTACGATATCGTTTTAATAATATAATAAAATTAATTCTTACGCGTTATAAGCGCGTTATTAATATATTATATAATAATATTAATACTATCTTCGAGAATAATATCGCTTTTATAATATTAATTAATAATAATTTATAGTAAGTTAATACGCTTAGTATTAGCGTTTTTATAGCGCTAGTTAATAGCCTCTATA